GGTGTAGTATCATTACCCCCTTTGGAACATTCGTCCTCGAATGTTGACTGATGTGCTTATCAGTTTCATAATCTATTGCTTTTACGAATACTTTAATATTGTCCTTTTCATCTAGACAACTGTTCTATGAATAAATTCAAAGGCCAGGGTATTCCTCTCCCCCTCCCCCTTTAGGACCCTTTCTCATACCACGACATGTGGTCGGAATTCTTCCAATCTCGTAAATGTTGATACCTTCTGTCATGCAGCCACTACGACTTTGTTCTTGTGCGACTCTTATATCCTTTTTCCTTCTTCTTTTAGCCAATATATAGGCCTCACATTGTGAATATATATAGAACTATGACAAGTTGTCCCTCTAGGCATCTATAGGTATACTGAAGTCTTTCGCTTGGTACTTTGGCAAATTTACGATTATTGATATATCTTGTTTCGTAGCCTCGGTTATCTATCCTTATGGCTTTACTGCATCTAGGTAGGTCATACTATACCATAACACTTACTTCAATTTATTATTATCGAGGTTTACTACCTAACTCTAGGTTACGCTCTTACCGCTTATCCTATATGTATAAATCTAAGTCCTTTAATTCTTCCTCATTACTATTCATCTCAAGAATGACAGCCTAATCTCATCTCATAATTTGGAACTTTATACATCTATTGGTGATTCATCTTAATGTTGATCTATAATCTACCACTGATAACTTGAAACCTCTTACGTAATACATTGTCACTAGGACTCACGTCGCATCGGGGAATATTTGAAGTGATTTTCCTGATCCATCTAGACTATACTTCAATAATCGTATTTCATAGCATCCCAACGTGATTCATTTTATGAGGGTATTCTAATCCTGTGCAATTCATGAAATTCATTTCTTTAAATCATTACTCAATCTAAGGCATAAATGTCATCCTCTTATCTATCATAATTACACTCTTATTCTATTACCAGGGCAACATTTCATCTCTCCTAATTTCTCCTAGTCTTAGACTCTTGCGAATTCATTCTGGCTATATAGAGATTTCTATAACTTACGAAAACCATCACCTCTCTTGTTTTGATGGGTTTAATTCTGATGCCTTACTATTCTTGTCACCTTCTCAGTCACCTTTTCTTATCCTTACTCCTATCTACCTAAAACCTTGTTTCTCTACCATACTTTAGCTTGCGATTTAAACATATCTATTCATACTACTCGCAACCTTCTTTTAGCTAGATAGCACCATAGATTTCCTTTCGTGCCTACTCAGTTGCTTTTAAACATAAGCAATTACTTTTCCTAGTCGTTTTTCCACTTATTGCATGAATACTTGGCTTGTCTTATTGCCCACGAATACTAGAATTTCCTGTACCTCATATGATCTCAAACATCACCTTTGTTTTTTTTTTCCATTCATTAGCCACGATAGGTGTCACTTTCTTATGGAGTGCATACAATGTTGTAGTGGGACTGTTGTTACAAGACCATTTCTTCTTCAAGTTAGTATGGTTAGGTTGAAGCCTTCTTCCTTATTTAATCAGCTGGTCTTTCGTTGTAGTACATAGGGAGAACTTCTGACTATTGTAAAGCTGCAAGCTTACTACATTTTATACCCAAAGGAATTTTTGATGATCTCACTCGTCTATAATTATCCTTAGTTACTTACCTTCGCGCCCTTGTGCTCGTAGGGTTGCTTCTGAACTGAAATTTTGACTATCTCCCCAGTGGCACTTTCTTTTATTTCGTAACACTTATACGGTATCTTTAACTACCCCAACTCCTATCTGAATATTTCTCAAGGATCACAATGTCATCATATCTACGAGATTGAATTCCCTACGTTGGGTTTCACTACGTTTACCTTGCATGATCTGTTAATTTATCTATATCCTCTTGTCTAGCCATAACTAGACTCTTCCAGAATCAACTACTAACTACTTGTTGGTCCATTCTCATATTTATATTTTGTGTAATCTCTCTTGGGTTATGTCCTTTTGTCTTAACTTACCCCTCACACTGGCTCCTTATGTATCAAATGTTTATTTGCACTTATTTATCAATAACATCTAGTGATGGAACCCTTACTGCCTCTTACCAGCGTCGTTCTTGCATATCGTTCAGGAGTCGTGACATATCTATACAATCTCAGTAAATGCAATCTCATTCTGTTTACCTTTTTACCGCATTCTTCATTTACTATTTCATAGTTACCTCATCATCTTTGGTGTTTTTCACATTTTCACTGACATCCTACTCACCCGGTGGTAACCCTTTTGTACCAAGGATAACTGAATTTCTACGCACGAGGGTTACACCTAGTGTAACTGGCACACTTAGTCCCTTAAGATAAACTCTGCTCACAGTGCTTGCTTTAGGGAAGCGTCTTCCTGAGTGACCTTCAAATGTTACTCTTTTGTTGTTCATTCTATTATTGTCGGAATGCAATCTTTGAAATTCTCAAGATGCCGACTATTATCAAATGCTTCGATCCCTAGTTCGTGTTCAATTTATATTGTTCTCTAGTTCATACTAATTTCTATTACTCCGGTGGTCTAACTTTTCCCTCAGGTAATCACGTTGAAGTCACCAACTCATTTCTCTAAAGGAGGATATGACTTTTGGCCTATATTCTTTTATTGTCTCAAGGTCTGTCACCTCTTGTCTTTTCCTTCACTTGACTATAGACTGTGTCATCCTGTCATATTTTGATTTACCGTTATCAACACTACAAGAAAAACGACCTTTAAAGAAGGGAAACCTGGTCCCTAAAAATCCGAATCTTCTCCTAATACACCAATTGCAACGGGAAAAAACGGATCGCAACCCATCGTAATAGCTTCCGCCGCTAAAAGTCAACAACGACGAGTTGAGAAACCTGGTCGCTAAATGTTTTTAAAGACGGACCCAAAATCCGGTCGTTAAATACTTTTAGAGACCACATATCTCGTCCCAGTAGATGATTAATATATTATGAAAAAAAATATTTTTCCATTGTTAAATGGTTTTAGCGACCACTATTCTCTTCTCTAATAGACGATAACTATATTATGGAAAATAAATATTTTTCGGTCGTTAAATAGTTTTAGCAACCATCATTTAATTAGTCATAATTTATCTTTTAGAGACGAGCAGCACTGGTCTCTATTTAAATTAATTGTAGTAACTTTAACGACCGTATTTATGATCTATTATTCAAAAAATATTAAATTGCTATTGAAAAAACTAAGTATAAAAAGGTAATATATATAATATATAAATAAAATTATTAATTACAATGTTAACATCTCATGATATTAGTTTTAATATTTGCTCAACACCTTAACAAAAAAACTTGGCTAACATCTTGAGCTAGAATATGATATCAAGTTTTATATAATATTCCTAGCAAAATAATAATGAGCTTGTGTATCTTCCAAACTCGAATCTTGATTGTAGCTTCAATTTTCAAAATCTGTAAGTACAAAATTTTAAAAAGACGATGAATAACTATTGGTAAAACGATATATGTAAATTTACACTAGCAATGGTGAAACCGCTTACCCCAAAACCAGTTTAAATTCATCAGGTGTTATCCAACAATATCAACAAGGCTACAGGAATATAAAAAAATTAATTAGAAAAGTTCTGGAGACTTGGATTTCAAATTGCACAGTAAAAAGCAATATGCAAAAGGGAAAGAAGAATCAGAGAATCAAAGTGAATCTTTAAATGGAGAACAAGGAAAGTTTGAAGCTTGCAGTTAAGCTCACTATAGCTACTTTCCTCACAGTAGCCATTTCCATATTCATAGCAAAGATCTTCCAAAAAGTTCAAAAACAAAACAGGAAAAAGCAACAAAAGAAACATTCCTGTTATCTAAATGCAGAAATCAAACCTCAATCTTGTTTCAAACGAGTTTTTGCTGATAACTCATATTCTCAATTCAAACACCTCAAGCTTGTCAACAGCAATAGTACAATACAATTTATATGATTGTCTAACGACAAATCAAACTTCGGTTCGATAAATCCCAGTACGGTAACTCGGGATTTACCATTCAAGAGAGTATGTCAAATTCCCTTAAAAATTATGGTCATACTAAGAAACAAAGGAAGTAACTTCAGAATTAGCCCATGTGACATATTTTAACAAAAATGAAGTTCGACTCTCTTAGTTCCTTCCTCAGCTAAGCTGCGAACCTTGATCAAATAAGTATACATCATTTTTAGAGTGATGAAAAATTAAAGATTTCTTCTTTTTTGTCTTCTATCAGATAGGAAAGAAGGTATTTATTACATTTCTTACAATACATAGCCATAACAGAACATAATAATATAAAGAAGAAAGATAATTCTTGAGAATTGAAAGATGGAAATGCAAGTTTCTTTTTCAGATTGTGGAACTCGCCAAAGAAAAGTAACTGATGTCAAAGTACATGTGCCCTAACTGTAAAATAACTCCGAACACAACATCAAATATGACATAGAACCACATTATGACATAGTACTAATGATTAAAGATCTTATAAGGAATATGAAAGTTTTAGCTTAATCAGTTATATGTTATAACTCTCAAGCATCTAAAGAATGAAGATTTACCACTGTTTATACATAGTCCTTTTTTCTCTCTTATTATTTCATCTATTTATTATCGCTGGTGATTTGTAGTTTTTCTGTTTATCATTCACATGTTATTATACAAATCTGTCAGATTCAGAACCAAAGTCACCACTTCACTCAAGGAACAAGTCTTAGAATGTATACTGAAAATAGAAAATTCTTTGACGGTAACATTTTTGGGAGTGAAATTGCCAAGAAGAATATTCTGTTGAGTGGAAACAGAGAAAGTTGCTTTGCTCATATCATAATCTTGGTAAACAAATGGATAAAAATAATGGCAGATCCAATGCCTACCGACTTGGATGATTGGAAACTTATAGCTAAATTGTTGAGTGAAAATTCTAGCAATTTGATAAAGAGGTGAATCATCAGCTTTTGTAATAGAATTTGAAGGGGTATCAGCAAATATATGTTATGAAGTTGAAAGAAACTTAACAGCTGATTTATCAGCCATAAATACCCTATTACCAACATTAGTATCCTTATTTGATCCACAATCTATTAAGAAATTATCAGCATGATCAAAACCAGAAACACACAAAACTCCCAACACCAATAAAAACATACTCTTCACTAACAATAAAAAATTCCAAGTTTCCTTCATCATTCAAATCCCTAAAAAAGACACAAACTTTGACCTAAAACCAACAGTTCTTTAAAGGTAACAGTAACACAAAGAACTAAATATCACCTATTTCACCCTATAAGCTAAAGAAACAGCAGCATAAGAGTAAAGATGTCAGGAACTAAGAGAGTCAAACTCCCTTCACATAAATCAAGTGATAACAGGTTCACCAATCAAATCTAAGAAAAATTGCAAATATAACGAGAAAGAGATCAGAACACTTCACAGACGATAATAAACAAGCATCAAGGTACAAATACCAACAAAATATCATGTAAGCAAATATAGACAGAAACACCTTAAGCTTAAAATATCATGTAAGCAAATATTGTTACTAACTTGGTCAGCAGACAAAAGTAGTAGTCATTCAGTTGAAACGAACGATGTCGAAGGAGAGACATGTGATTGTTGAGCAGCAAAGAATTCCTTTATTTTCCTCATTTCTTTCATCTCATCTTCTAAGGTAGGCAATCGATCTTGTAAGGATTTGTTTTCCTCATTCAAAGATTTATTTTTCTCTCTAATTGAACGTAGCACGGACAGTAATTGAGCCTTTGAAGAAGTGTCACCTTTCAAGTCTTTCGCCTTTACTCCACCCCCAAAGCCAAATACATGGCTACGGGTTTGAGGTCCACAATATTTTCTACTATCTCTATGCTAGGTAAAGATGGATCCGATTGAACTATTTCTTCAATCTGAGCCTACAAAACATATGAAAAAATATTTTATATCAGAACCAATAAAATTTCAAGTAATTTACATATTCAATTTACAAAACATACATGTTTTTCAATTGCTTCAGGTTCAACAAGCTTGTTATTTTTCTTACGAGTCTCAAAGAAAATTGTTGCCAAATCTAGTGGATTGCCATCTTTCCCGCCCTTTACATAAAAGGAAAATATGTCAAAAAATACCTCGTAAATATTTCTAGGAAAATAGAGATTTTATGATAATACCTTTTGATAAATTATCTCTCGAATAGGCTTACTAACAACATGGTGAAGCATGTTCAACTTAGCTCGGTTTGCTGCATTCCTATTGCTTCTCGCCTTTGTGAAACAATATACTTAAATATAATTATTGTAATAAACTTAAATAGTATACTTAGGTTTGATTCCAAATATAGCGGAAAAAATATATCTGGTGCTAGGAAAGGGAATCAAACTACAGATGCTTTGGCGAAATAGACTATTAAATTATTGAGCATATCTGAAAACTTTCTGAAGAAAAATATTCCTTTACTAACCACTCTCATTCTTTCTTGTCTACTCCCTTTGGAATACTCCTAAGAGCTTGTTGGATTGGCTTATTCTTCACATATTTTGCGTGCAAGTATCCTCTCCATTTATTCCATAACTCTTTCATCCATCCCAAGATATGATCACGATGATCATTCATGTCAACACTCTCAAAATTATCCTACAATAATCAAAATATTGGTTGAGTTAATGCATCACAAGATAAATAATGCACTGTTACAAATAACGCATGTTATAGATAAAGGAAAAAAAAAGAAATTGCAGTCACAAAGAAATCAAAGATCATCAACATCATTAGAATTGTATAGTGATTTGAATGTGATGGTAACATGCAAATATATGATAATTTTTATTAAGAATTCTTAGCTAACTCAAGAAGTTGTGGTGGAAAATTTAACTAGTGAAAGTGAAAAACAATTGTAGGTTCATAAAGACAGCTCGTTATGCCCTTCGATGCATAATTTGTTTATTTTCTAACTTTATTCCAACTGTGGACACATTTCAACAAGAAAAGAAAAGTACTCCATTAATAGAAACTGAAATCACAATTAAAAAATCTATACACAGTCATAAGCAAAAACATTTATGCAGTTTCTTTGAATAATTTAACAATAATATATAAATTCATATCAAGTTCAGGTATGGTTTTTTTTTTGCAGCCTGCATATATATGGGAAGCTTAATTAATTTAGCGCTATATTAAGCACCAGACACCAGCAAAATATTAAGCAGGTTCTAATAAGAATAGTACACTCTATGAATAAAAAGTTTGCAACCACACCAAACTACACCTATGGTCTTCCTCTCAACAGCGCAAATAATACCATTATACATGCGACTCAAAATGCACATGCATACTCTTAACTACATTTGTTACCTCAATAGCTGCCCACATGTAATTCAACTTTTCTTGTTTAATATCATTCTACGATGATACTCCCAACGGACACATATTGCGGTCACGAACTATTCTGCCCAAGTGCCTTCAGAACAGTTTGCTATTTGTTCCAACTATTCGATTGTTGTAAAAGGTTACTTTCAGCTTTTGTCTGACTTCAAGTGATGCAACTTCTTTTCACTTGTTCCTACCTCGAACTCTTTTTAGCTCAATTTCTAGAGTGAATATAGTAAGGTCACACGATGGATTGGGTATGAATATTAACCAATTGGGTCAAATCCTGCCAAATATCTATCTTAAATCCCTAACCATATCCATAACAAAAGAAAAGAAGAGAAACTAATGGCTTTCCAGTACATTAAACTACTACTACTTTACCGTCGAGACTCAACCTCTACCATCTGTAGATAGTTGTCCCAATCTTCCCCATGTGACCCTACCCTCACACTATTCCCCGAGGATTAATCTTCCACCGAGCAATAAATTAGGCTAATCTCTTTTTGCATTTTTCTTGCAACTCCTTGCCATATACCTTCCCCCGAACTACAAACATGAACAAATATGAATATACCTTTCCCTTGTTTGAAGATTAATTCTTCAGACACACAATACGCTATAAACATGAATATACTTCAGAGAAATCAAATTATCAAATTAGGAATCCCAACCCAATAATCTTTTTATTGGTTATACAAAAAAGAAACGAAATTATGAAACTTTTTACCAATTTAATGTTAGAGAAGAAGGAGAAGAAAAAGTCGAATACACCAAAGCAATAAAGCGAATTCCACTTAGATAAGAAAAAGAGCAACTCAGAAGAGGAGGCATACCTGGGATTCACAAATGAGCGAGGTTGAAAACTAGGGTAGACCTGCGATTCACGAACCAACAAATTTGCAACCTTTGCTTTGAGAAAACACAGATTTGAGAGATGGATAGGGAGGCAGGGTTGCTTTGTGTTTATTAGAGACTAGGGCAGAGTAGTTGTGTTTTGGGAAAACAGAAAGTTTCTTTAATTTTAAGGATGTTAAATTTTAGTACATTAGTTTTGGCGCCTATTTTTTTAAAAAATAATATTTTTTTATTATTTTAGTATTATATTTGGAGGTATTCTCTCCCGCTCATGGCCCCTCAATTATAATTTGGGACCAGTTACTAATTTTTTTAGGGACCAGATTTAGTACCTTCGCAATAAAATACAGCATTAAGAACTACAATATAATTTCGTCCAAATACATATACTTTTAGAGACAGGATTATTAACTCGCCCCTAAACGTTGGTCACAGATAAGGATTTTTCTTGTATTGCAACCATTTATCACATCTTACTCATAATGCTTCATTTACTCTCTTCTTATTCTCCTGGTAATACTTCTATCTATATCCTAATTCCGAAAACTTCAAGAAAACATTCTTTCGCTTTTAGCTCCCGTTGCTCCATCCACTGCCTTATCGGGTCACCTAACATTCTCTCTTTGTTATGGACGGGAGCCATACTAAGGTAAATATTTATCCCTTCTAGGATTCCAGTGCCTATCTTCTGAATTTTCTGAACATTCTAGTATTCATATCTAACTGTACTTATTCTAGAGTGCATACCTGATGTCTCACAAGGAGAACTACAATCACATTTGTAATATCCTTCGAAAATGTCAGCTAATGCTAACAATCAATCCACCGTTTTGGGATACTCTAACCCCAGCTGGATCCTAATATCACATCCTTCTTTTAAACGATATATGTTAGCTCTCATATGGCATAACTAAGATATGTGTGGCCAATTATACTGTCATGACCCAACTTTCCCTCTGTTTGGGTATCGTGATGGCACCTAGTGTTAGGGATTAGGTAAGCCTAACATTTTCAGAATAACAACAATAATAGAAGAACATCTAACAATTTGAAAGGGAAATCTCCACAAAATTTACAATTCCCAAAACCGATGGTATAAGATATAAGCTCTACAGAGTTTGCTACAACTTCTAAAATACAACTATCTCAAAATAAGAGTAAACAATGTAAACACAAAATAAGAAGGTGACTCCGAAGCCTGCAAACGCAGCAACAGGTTTACCTTGAGTCTCCACAGCAACGGTCCGAACAACTACTAGTGATCCAATACTTGGATCTGTACAAAAATGTACAGAAACATAGAATCAGCACACCACAGCGGTGCCCAGTAAGTATCAAGACTAACCTCGGTGAAGTAGTGATATGGAACAGTCAAGACAACTCCTGGTCTAATAAATTGAAGAAGTATAAGTATAAAGACAACAGTGCATGATTTCTACATAAAGACTACGCGATATGGCTAACAATACAGTAATTGCAATAAGGAAGGAAAAAACAAGTAACAGTGAAACACCATAATAAGGACACAGAAGAGTGAACGGAACACAACCCAAATCCGAAATCACAAATACAGTAAAGACGAGTAATAACTCAGCTACTACGACAGTTTTTACATCAGGTCTTAGCCAACAAACTCCAATCAATTAGTCAAATCCTTCAAGTATAAATCTTTCACCCATAAGTTTTCGAATAGAAATCTTTAGAATATAATCCTTCCCAATAAAGATATTTCGAAATATACTTCCTTCAAATAAATATCTTTCAAACATAGTTCTTTCAAAATAAAATAACTTTTGAATATAATCTTTTCAAATAAATATCCTTCGAATATAAGTCACCCTGTGACACCTCATCACATAATCATACAATACGGGTCTCAATACCTAAACCCAAACACTTGGCATCCTGTGCCCTCATCATACCTCATAATCGCATTGACGACTCAGGTTCCAAATAGAGCCATTCTCACATGGAAGGCAAGTAAATAAGGGTATGCATCTATACTTAGCAATATCAAGAAACTCTCTATCTGATAAGGGTGCTTAGCTACGTGTATGCTTGTGCAAGTGTCCTAACATAGGTCATACCAGCTAATAAGCATAAGGAAAAGAACAGATAACACGTAGAATGTTTACCAGAATGTAAGCATAGAAGAACAACAGCTCAGAACACAGATATAACAACATGGGATCTCTTAGGATACCGTCTCGTAGTCCCAAACGTAAATGTGCAAAGGGATCTCCCGAAACACCGTTCCGTAGTCCCAAAGTAAATATGTAGTGTTGGGGGATCTCCCGAAATACCGTTCCGTAGTCCCAAAGTAAATACGCAGCGCAGCCAACAGAGATAACAATTACAGTATGGCAAAAACCTCGTGCATCACCACAACAAGTACAACAGCAACAATGACAATAAAATAAAGTACGACAAGTAAATCAACTCAAGAACTTTAAATCACAAAGAAACGGTAGAACTCATTCACAAGGAATAACCACAGTAAAGAATGTTAGGCGTATAAAGAACAGCTCAACAAGGAAGGAACTAATATGCCACAACGATCCACAATATACAGTTCCAAATAAGAGCAAGTCAACTAAAACATAGGATATCTAGACTTCTTTTAAGGTTGGGCAATTACGAAGAATATTCAACAATTTAATTAAAGATAGACAACGGAAAGGTAATCATAACCTCAATTAAGACTAAACAACTGTAGGATAAGATGATGATAATTTCAAATAAAGATAAGCAGTTATGAAAAGATAGCAGGCCAATAGAAGAGGTAAAATCTTCAGCTAAGTCAAATAGGCAATAAGAGTGAATCCTAAAGCAATTATTTCTAATTTAAGCATGTAGAGTTGAAACTAGTAAATAGGAAACTTAATCATAGCAAGAACAACTTCCTACTTAGTGAATATAAGGACCGACGAACCTTAAAAGGCCAATTTTCCACAATTAAGTCCAAGCACGCACTTGTCACCTCGCGTACACAAACTACAATCAGCATAGAATACTCAAATCCTAAGGGAAAATCCCCCACACAAGGTTAGGCAAGATACTTACCTCAAAGAAGACAAACCGATACTCTAAAATGAACTTCTTGGGTGAAAGACCTCCGGACGACTCAAATCTAACCAAAATAACTTCAAAGCACAAATAAAACTCATAAGAAACTATTTCGGATCATAAAGTCTCAAACTTTAACAAAATCCAAAAATCGATCCAAAAGTCGACCCCTGGGCCCACACCTCGGAACCCGACAAATTTTACAAAAATAGAATACCCATTTCGATACGAGTTCAACCATACAAAAATTATCAAATTTCGATACTATTATGTTTTCCTTCAAATCATGATTTTTCATTTTAGAAGTTTTCTTCAAAAACCAATATTTTCCTCAACCCAAAACACAAATTAAATGATAAAAATGAAGATAAAATTATGGAATATATTAGATACTAGGTGAAGAACACTTACCCAATCGAATTGCTTGAAAACCCCACAAAGAATCGCTCAAAACCAAGCTCTACAAGTCAAAATATGATAAAAATGGACTAACCCTCGATTTGAAGATCTTATATTCTGCCCAGGTGATAAAGCATCGCGAACGCGGAGGAAGGATTGCGTTCGCGAAGAAGAAAAATGAAGGTTGCCCAGGTTGTGCTTCGCGAATGCGAATAAACATTTGCGAATGCGGAGAAGAAAATACGGAAGCCTACGCGTAGGGAAACACCCGAACGCGAAGAGTAACGAGTACCAGTGCTCAAGGACAGGTTTCTACTATGCAAACTCGAAACAGAAGACGCGAACGCGAAGAGGGTATCACGACCCGAATTTTTCACCGTCGGGATCATGATGGCGCCTAACATTAAACCCGTTAGGCAAGCTAACGTTACTAATTTGTTTACCTTTTTACTTTATCTTTTAGCAATTTACAAGTTAACATAACATAAACAACAGAATAAAATGCGGAAGAACGGAATTTAACAATCTAACTGAATACTAATATGAAATCCATAATACAACTCCACCTAGAACTGGTGTCACAATGTTATGGACTGTCTACGAATAATATAAACAGTGGTCTAAATAAGAAAATACAAACCTGTCTCAGAATAGATAAAACAGAAGAAAATATGATAGAAGGGAGAATGTGATGACCCAAAAGGTCATCACTTATTTTAAAAGTCAAATCTGTGTTCCAAGGCCTTAGAAACCTCCTTTTGTCTCACCTCGATTTGCATGCACAGTCCGGGCGTATATCCGGAAAGCCCTTATGTGAAAATTTGAGAAAATGCTAATTTTGCCTTTAAAATTGAATTTAAGTTGAATTCAGTTAACTTTTTGGGTAAACGGACCCGAACCCGTGCTTCGACAGTCCCGGAGGGTCCGTGGAAAAGTATGAGACTTGGGCGTATGCGCGGAATTGAATTCCCAGGTCCTTAGCCCATGAAATTAATTTTTGAAAGAATTTAACTGAAAATATAAGAGTTTATTAAAATTTAAAGATGTTTGAATTTGATGGTATCAGGCCCGTATTTTGGTTTCGGAGCTTGGTACAGGTTTAATATGGTATTTAGGTTGTGCTTATAAAATTTGGTAAGAAATGGAATTCATATGACGTGAATCGGACCCTCGGTTGTGAAATGAAAACTTTAAGAGTTCTTGAGATTTTTCTTTGATTTTGATGCTAAACTCGTAGTTCTAGGTGTTATTATGGCGATTTGATCGCACGAGTGAGTCCATATGATTTTTTAGACTTGTGTGCATGTTGATTTGGAGCCCCGAGGGCTCGGGTGAGTTTTAGATAGGTTTCAGGTTGTTTTGGACTTAGGAACTTTTGCTGTTTTGCTGCTTCTGATATACTGATATTTTGTTCTTCGCGTTCGCGATACAGCTCACGCGAACGCAAAGTACAAGCTGGGCTAGGGAGGGGTTTCTTCTATGCGAACGCGAGGCCTTGGTCGGGAACGCAGAGCACTTGGGGGATTGCTCTTCGCGAACGCGACTGGCCACACGCGAACGCGTAGTGTAATGGAGATGGATGGGGAGACCTTGAGTTATTCTTCACGAATGCGATCCCAGGCCCGCGAACGCGATGGTCAGGGGGACAGACCATCGCG